AGAAAAGAAATAATATTGTAATAGATCAAAAATATATTGATGCGTTTCAGAAGTGTAAGGAGCTTCTGACTAATGCACCTTTACTCCAATACCCAGACCCAGACAAACCTTATGTTTTAACTACAGATGCTTCTACTGCTGCTTTAGGTGCGGTCTTATCGCAGGAGAAAATAGGATCCGATAAGCCCATTGCCTACGCCAGTAGAACTCTCAGCGACACTGAGACCAGATATAGTACAATAGAGCGTGAACTACTCGCCATAATATGGGCCGTAAAACTTTTTAGACCATACCTTTACGGGCGTAAGTTCACCATATATACCGACCATAGACCACTAATTTGACTTTATTCACTCAAAGAACCGAACAGTATATTGACCCGTTGGCGTTTACGTCTTCAAGAGTACGACTTTGATATTGTATACAAAAACGGAAAACAAAATAGTAATGCTGATGCCCTCTCTCGGATAAAACTAAATGCCATAGACTCTGATGACTCACAATCATTGGAAGTAAACCTGGACCCTAAAGAACAAAAACTGCAAAAATATCTGACTGAATTAACTGACCAAATTGTGGACTTAACGACTAAAAATAGGGACGACCCTAGGACAATAACTGTAACTGACACATCCGCCACTATATCCGTCGACCAATTAGAGACTAACACGAAATACCCGTTACCACCTATATCTAGTGATAGTAGTATAGTAACCGTACACTCTGGACAAGATCTAGAATCTAATGGTATTCCTATATTTAAGGAGGCCATTGACTCAAAACCTAACCAAATTTTAGTTTATACCTGGTATAGAAATGAAGTACAAGTGAGAAATTTATCCAGGGATAAACAAAAGGTCTTCGAAGTTTTTGCCCCACTTGAGAATGAAGATCTTATTAAAAATTTCTTAAAAGAGTACATTAAGCCCAAGATTAAATATTTTATTTATTTTGAAAACATTCAACATAGAAAAGAATTCTCTAAAATTATTATACAATTATTTAAAAAGGAAATGGTAGAATTTATTGAATGTACAGAGCGTGTTATATATGTAGAAGGCGAGAGAGAACAAAAAGAAATCATACTGCAACATGATGAGGGAAAGACGTGTCACAGAGGAATAAAGGAAACAATGAGTAGAATTAAAAGAAATTATTATTGGCAGAACATGCAAGAGACGATTGCTGCAGTACTTAATGTTTGTGATGCCTGTAGAAAAATGAAATATGAAAGAAAACCCATTAAACCATTACTTCAATTAACTCAAACCCAAAACGCCCCCTTTCAAGAAGTTTTCATGGACCTTATTTCAATTGAATCCGTTTATTACCTAACTTTGGTTGACGCATTTAGTAAGTTAGGACAAGCTATCGAAATCCCAAATAGATCCGCACCGGAAATCGTAAGAGCGATTATTAAATATTTTTCAATATACGGAACACCTAAAAAAAATAACTTCTGATCCCGGTAGTGAGTTTAATAATGACCTCATTAAGGGACTTATGACTTATGTATAACATACTACTACACATTACTACTCCTAATTACCCGAATTCAACAGGCATAATAGAGAGATTCCACTCCACAATTATAGAGATATACAGATTAGCGAAATACGAACGAAAGTGTACAGACGCAGTTACTGTAATGAGTTACTCAATTATGGCTTATAACCACACCATACATAGTACAACCGGCCTTACTCTAATATATTCTAAACTAAACGATAATCAGATCGTGTCGGAGAATTACAAAAGAGAATTACATTAGTCTCCAAAATCTTGGATAGTTTCATCAACAGTACAGAGACCTTACATAACAATACTTTAATATTAGATGAACGCTCGAAGAGAATTGAAAGAATTGTTAAATTCCTAATTACAAAAGAAGAAAACTCCATTTATTCTACCTATATCCTAGGTATGTTTGACATGTTTTTGAGTTATTTCAGAACTATTTAAGTAATACTAGGAGAAATTGAAACTGCACTAGCATTCAGTAAGGTATCTGTTCTGCATCAAGCAATTTTTAACTCTACAGAATTGTTAAATTTATTACAATCAATCGCGACAACTGAAAATCAGTTATATCCTGAAAATGAAAATAATTTAGTTAAATTACAAAATTGTATTAAGGTTAAGGCTTTTATAAAAGGAAACCAGATCACGTTTATCTTAGAGGTTCCTTTAGTAGGGAATAAAACATATAGTTACTTCAAAATGTATTCATTGCCAATTGCTATTGCAAACAAAACTATTATAGTTATTCCCAAATACCCATACCTATTGGTGAAAGAAAAAGAATACTTGCCAGTCCCGAGAGCCTGCAAACAAATTGCTTTGGATAATCAATTCCTGTGCAATAAAGACGATGTGCTGTTGCATACAGAACAAAGCTGCGTGGAACAGCTCATGGAGTTTCAATCAAACCTCGATGCCTGTGAACAGCATACTGTGGACATTGAAGATCCCAAAATCCAACGAATAAGCCACGAAAGCGGGATACTATACGTGAGAAACCATAGGATACTTACCAGAAAGTGCGACAATGACGTCACTCATGAACTGTTATGTGGTACTTACATAATCACCGTAGACGATTTCTGTGAAGGCGAAATTGGAAATATTCATTTTAAATACCACCAATCTTCTTCAGATGACCTAAATTACCGAATTTACCCAATGACTAACTTACCAGAACTGAAGATTTCGAAGTCTCCCATTGTCAGTGAAGTGAGTTTAAAAGGTATAAATCTAAACGAAACTAAGCAATTGGTTCAACTAGTAAAATTTAACAAAATAAATCTCAGTGGAAATGCAAGTGCTATTAACGTTAAAAGTGTGAGTTTAGGAACGATAATTTTGTATGTAATTCTACCAATTATTTTCTGTATTGTAATTATAATTAGATATAAACTGTGTGTAATTAAGCGAAATCATCGGATTCCTGAAAATGCCGATAATTTCGCTCTTGATAGTGATATTGAGTGATACAAGTACGTGCATAAATGCTATTGCTGACTTTACACCCTGTGTGTGGCCTATATCGCGTCACTTGAGTAAGCAAATGTAATAACGTCTACATGAAAGATGTATTAGAATAAGTTGGCCATTGTTGAAGTACATGAGCTTCTGTACGGACATCTCTTAGTTTTATTTTAGTTTTTAAAAAACGCCTCCACCGCTCCAGTTAACTTGACTACTTGTCTACCTGCCCTATTGTTATTAAACAACGAACATCATCTATCTCTCTCTAACGTATAGTCTCCCTCTATCTATCGCTCTCTAACTTCTAAATTTTACTGACTACGCACATCTGCAATTCAAGTTCTAAGAACTTGCAACAAAAACCTTTTTTAGCATATAGGGTAGTGTAGTGAAAGTGATTAACTAGCAACAAAAATTTATGTTCAAAATTTCGGTTCTTGTTTAGAAATAGTAGGCTTTTTTTGTGGCTAGTTTTCTAAGAGTATTATACCATTTTAGAATCTTGGTTATGTAGTTGCGTCAATTTTTAAAAAAACTTGCCATAGTATTGTCAGTACTTTTTTTACACCACGATGAGTGAAAGTGGACTGAAAGTAAAAATCTTTCAAAATTTTAGGGGAAATTTTTTTTTTTATAGAAGAGGGGGCAAACGAGCATGCGGCTCACCTGATGGTAAGTGACTACCGCCGCCCATGAACAACTGCAACACCAGGGGAATTGCAGATGCGTTGCCGGCCTTTTAGAAAGGTGTAAGCTTTTTTCTTGAAGGTTCCTAAGTCGTATCGGTCCGGAAAATTCGCTGGTGGTAATTGATTCCACAAGGAAGTTGTGCGAGGGAGAAAACTTCTTCTAAATCGCACAGTGCTGGACCGCCAATCATCCAGATGGTATGGATGGTAACGCAAGTTTTGTCGCGATGTGCGATGGTGAAATTGAGCGACTGGAATTAGTCCGAACAATTCCTCAGAGCACTCCCCGTGATAGATGCGATAAAATACGCAAAGAGATGCTACATCTCTACGCAGTTCCAGTGTATCGAGCCGATCAGAAGCCGAGCCGAGAATCAAAAATAATTTTGATTGATTTTTGTGTAAAAACTACATGTATTTTGCGATTTATAAGGGTTGTGGTAGATAGCAGTACTACTAAGGTTGCCGATACAAAAAAAAAATACAAAAAAAATTAAAAATGTGCTCATGGTAGTTAAAAATACCATATCGGGGTATCGATTTTCGAAGAATTTAATTTTTTTTGTAATTTCAAAAACGATTTAGATTTTTTTTCTTTTTATTTTTTCTCGAGTAGTCATGAGCAGGTCCACCCTCTGGTGCCCGTTTATCGTTGAATTTTGGGACACGTTGTATAAGCTCATTGCTTAATATACTCATGACAAGCAAATTTAGTTTTTTTTAACCAACTTCAAAAAGGAGGAGATACTCAATTCGACTGTATGTTTTTTATTAACCTCATAACTTTTTTCTGGGCAAACCGATTTCGATGATTCTTTTCCGACTGCTCTGGCTATGCCTGGAACTATTTTTCTTTTTTTTATATTGCTTAATTTTTTTTATAATTAATCTAAGTTTTTGGAATACAATATAGCACATATCACTCCTGGCATTGCTTTCCATCTGTGAGTGAAGTTTCAATACAATTGGTTTGGCCATTTCGAAGATTATCCCGGACTGACAGACAAAAATTTTTAATAGCTTGCAAACTACCCCCAGAGCACTATAGGAAGCACTTATTCCAGACAGACACTTCATTTTATTATTTATATGTGTATAGAGAACTAATGATGCGAAAAATACAGTTTATAAAATAAAAAAAGAAAACCCTAACCCCCATAAGCAGCACCTTTTAACCGAGGTTTTTATTACTTTAAATCAAAAGCTTACTGTTTTAAAACAATTTGTATATTTTCGATTTGTATTTTTTTAAGATTTCTGATTCAACCTTTTTTCTGAATGTATTAAGGTTCATACATACTAAAAAGGACTTTCTGTACTTACTGTTTCATCTCTTCTTCACTAATTTTTTTGTATAGGTCGTAAACTTTTGAAGTTATTTCCAGTTTTTCATTTAATGTTTTTGCTGCCTCCCAGTTTTCATATATTGTGTATGCATTGATGTAGCTAAAAAACATACGAAAGTAGCTCAATCAATGCAACTCATTTACTAACACTATATTATAACACTATTACAGTACACAAAATTGACTAAAATGTGAAGGTGTAAGGGAGAAAATTTCTCGTAAGGGTGAATTGCCGTGTGGTGACGTCGTAAAAGCCACTACCTGGGTATCGTGTCGTGACAGAGTGAAATGAAAAAGGGGTGGGCAGCAGCACATAGCTGATGCAACAACTCAAAATAATAAACAAACTGCAGCTACTTTACTAAGCTTTACATTTTGCTACTATGCTTGGCAACTATGGCAAATATCCCTCCTATAGGGTAGTCTATGGGGGAGGCCAATGTTCATCTGTGGACTTTTGATGCGCTGTAGTGATAAAGGGGGAATAACGCCCATCATTTTCCTCAAATGCCACCTCACTTGCACATGCTACACCTTGATGGTTATCAAAGATTTGGAAGCTGTATTACCGATGCAAGCTTATCGGCTCTGCACTCATACAAAAATACAAATCCACCAAGCAGGTGAGTTTGTACCATTGGTTAGAATGAAATTAAATAGAATTTTTCAAGCTGTGCTTGCACGATGGCTCGTACATACATAGAAAGGCTACTGACCAGCAATCTCAAACCCATTTGAAAAGGCTGCTGACGTCTTATCAAATCATAATATCTTTTTTCACATGGTAGAGCCATGCTGCAGCTATATTAATTGTGTAGTTTTAGTACAAATGGGTCGGTTTGACCGGGGAAGGACCACGCTCTCACAGAATACCAGCATAAAATAGCATAAGCTGCTGTGATTCATTGCTGAGTGTAGAGAACAGGAGACCCTTTTTACTGGAAAAGAGGCATTCCATCTTAGTACTCACAGCTGACAAAGCATCTGCATTTCGATTCGCAAACGAGGATAGATGTAGAGACATTGGCCACAGAAATCACTTACCATCAGGTGGACTGTGTGCTTACTTGTCACCCTTATCCTATGATAAAATGTGCAAACATACCATATAATAGTTTATATTCATCTTATAGAAATATTTACCAGTTAGGTTCATGATTACCTTTCAAATTCATCTCTTGTATTAAAAATAACACTTGCATTGTCTAAGGGCATATCTTTATCAATTGGATAGGTTTCTCTTTTTGCTTTGTCATTTATCAATAATAATTCTAATCTGTTTTCTCTTATCAAACCATAATCTATTCCCAAGTACATTAGACAGTATAGTTTAGTAAATGTTGTACGTGCTGCCTCAGTTAACCTGTAGCATGATCCAGTTTTAAGTTCCAACCTAAACAAAAAGCATATTGAAAATTACATGGCAGAAAATGAGAAAAAAAAGATCTTTGTTTTTTCCAGTACTTACATCTTTAATACTCTATTTGCATTATTACTTTTAGGACCCATAAAATAACTGCTTATATTGGATGTGCGAGAGCTGAAATTTTTCAAAGACCTAACTGCATCTACTTTGGTCTGGACTTTTAATTTTAATTCTTTGCATATTTCTTTTAATTCTTCAAGTTTCAATAATTCAACAAAATCATCAAACATCATTATATTGTTGTTATCTATAAATAGATAAAATTTTATATATAAGCCATCATAATAACAAAAACAAAAGTAATTATAGTAAAAAGAGTGATACACTTTGTGAACACTAAGTACAAAAAGGCATTGATACCAATTTCTCGACTAGAGTCAGGAATTCATTCCTTGGGCAATGTATACACTATTACAACAAAGTCCCAGAAAATATACAAGCTCTCTCTATTACCAAGCTTAAATTTTTTTTAAAACAAAACTGTTTAAAAAGGGTTATTATAATATGAATGAATACATATTACCAAGCTTAAATTGTTTCTAAACAAAACTGTTTAAAAAGGGTTATTATAATATGAATGAATACATATTACCAAGCTTAAATTGTTTTTAAACAAAACTGTTTAAAAAGGGTTATTATAATATGGATGAATACATATTACCAAGCTTAAATTGTTTTTAAACAAAACTGTTTAAAAAGGGTTATTATAATATGAATGAATACATATTACCAAGCTTAAATTGTTTCTAAACAAAACTGTTTAAAAAGGGTTATTATAATATGAATGAATACATATTACCAAGCTTAAATTGTTTTTAAACAAAACTGTTTAAAAAGGGTTATTATAATATGAATGAATACATATTACCAAGCTTAAATTGTTTCTAAACAAAACTGTTTAAAAAGGGTTATTATAATATGAATGAATACATATTACCAAGCTTAAATTGTTTTTAAACAAAACTGTTTAAAAAGGGTTATTATAATATGAATGAATACATATTACCAAGCTTAAATTGTTTTTAAACAAAACTGTTTAAAAAGGGTTATTATAATATGAATGAATACATATTACCAAGCTTAAATTGTTTCTAAACAAAACTGTTTAAAAAGGGTTATTATAATATGAATGAATACATATTACCAAGCTTAAATTGTTTTTAAACAAAACTGTTTAAAAAGGGTTATTATAATATGAATGAATACATATTACCAAGCTTAAATTGTTTTTAAACAAAACTGTTTAAAAAGGGTTATTATAATATGAATGAATACATATTACCAAGCTTAAATTGTTTTTAAACAAAACTGTTTAAAAAGGGTTATTATAATATGAATGAATACATATTACCAAGCTTAAATTGTTTTTAAACAAAACTGTTTAAAAAGGGTTATTATAATATGAATGAATACATATTACCAAGCTTAAATTGTTTTTAAACAAAACTGTTTAAAAAGGGTTATTATAATATGAATGAATACATATTACCAAGCTTAAATTGTTTTTAAACAAAACTGTTTAAAAAGGGTTATTATAATATGAATGAATACATATTACCAAGCTTAAATTGTTTTTAAACAAAACTATTTAAAAAGGGTTATTATAATATGAATGAATACATATTACCAAGCTTAAATTTTTTTTTAAACAAAACTGTATAAAAAGGGTTATTATAATATGAATGAATACATATTACCAAGCTTAAATTGTTTTTAAACAAAACTGTTTAAAAAGGGTTATTATAATATGAATGAATACATATTACCAAGCTTAAATTGTTTCTAAACAAAACTGTTTAAAAAGGGTTATTATAATATGAATGAATACATATTACCAAGCTTAAATTGTTTTTAAACAAAACTGTTTAAAAAGGGTTATTATAATATGAATGAATACATATTACCAAGCTTAAATTGTTTTTAAACAAAACTATTTAAAAAGGGTTATTATAATATGAATGAATACATATTACCAAGCTTAAATTTTTTTTAAACAAAACTGTTTAAAAAGGGTTATTATAATATGAATGAATACATATTACCAAGCTTAAATTGTTTTTAAACAAAACTGTTTAAAAAGGGTTATTATAATATGAATGAATACATATTACCAAGCTTAAATTGTTTTTGAACAAAACTGTTTAAAAAGGGTTATTATAATATGAATGAATACATATTACCAAGCTTAAATTGTTTTTAAACAAAACTATTTAAAAAGGGTTATTATAATATGAATGAATACATATTACCAAGCTTAAATTTTTTTTTAAACAAAACTGTTTAAAAAGGGTTATTATAATATGAATGAATACATATTACCAAGCTTAAATTGTTTTTAAACAAAACTGTTTAAAAGGGTTATTATAATATGAATGAATACATATTACCAAGCTTAAATTGTTTTTAAACAAAACTGTTTAAAAAGGGTTATTATAATATGAATGAATACATGGTTGAAAATAACCCCTGGGAATGAGGAATTTTGTAAATAGTTTAAACCTGTCATATTGTATAATTTACTTTTAAAAAATAGTCTCGCTGGGTTTCTTGCTAGTTCTTCCCAAGACAACAACAAAAATTTTTCCAAACCAGTGGTAAAGTAAGAAATGACTTTAAATATAATAGATTTTGAAAATTAAAGAGGTATCATCAGCAAATAATACTATATATTGTTATTATACCTTATCTTGTAGGGGATACAAGATAAGGTAACTCATTAATATAGATTAAGAACAGAGAATCGAACCCTGAGGAACGCCCATTGATACTAACAATCTGGCGGAACCTTTACCATTAATAACAACATTTTGAGTTCTGTTATTTAAATATGAAAAAGTCTAAGTGCAATATTTTTGACACCATAATGTTGTAGTTTTCTGATAATTCTCATGATGAATACAATCGAAAAACTTGGATTGTACTACCTCCAGATAAAAATTATTAATTTTTGTTCCGATCTACACAGTAAAGATGATCCTAACAAATGATTCGCTAGGCTATTGAAATTAAAAAACGTCCTAATTTCAATAGAGAAGATGGCTGGGTGCTACCATCTGCTTGGGATCCAATAATGAATAAAATTAAATCCCAACCCAAGCATACAACTGCAAGACTTAACATAAGGTGATTTGGCTTCTTTTTGTTGTGAAGGGATGTCTTTGTGTTTTGAAGGTGGTGTGAATTTCTTAATATTGGCATCGCCTCAATCGGAGACTGCCTAGATTCACACATTTAACCATAGATTCTATTTCAGACTATATCCCAAGCTATCCGCAACTTTGCTGTCATCTGTGTACCCATAGATGCCATGCACAAGGAGATCATTAATATGCAATAGGAAGAGAATTGCAGAGAGGAATAGAGTCATCAAGAACTGCGAAAATATTCTTCATAGGGATGGCACAGCTTTTGAGAACAACTCTCAGCTTAGGTTTCAGAATATTGTTTTAATATTGACTAAAAGCAATACTTCTTTTTTTAAATAGTGCAAATGTAAATGAGGCTCACATACAGATCACATTCAGCCTGGCATCAAATATGACAGTGCCCAAATATGATATTTACGAATGATATTTACAGGTTCCATATTATAGGTCTCAGGTTTAATAATCTAACAAGAGCACTATTGTGAAAAGGGAAAATAATTTATCATCCCATGGGTATGATATACCTACCATCAAATAATTTCTACCAATTTTCAATTGTAATTCAGTAGACTGCAGTTTTGATATTTACTCAACTTTAGTTTAGATATTTTTATAATTTTAATATGTTTAAACAAAGAAAGATGCCAATTTTTCACCTGACTATGTATAGAAATGAAATAAATCTTAAAATTCAGGTAATTGAATTGTAAACTAATTACTCTTATTACAATGTTAAAAGAAACGCAGGAAAAAATATTTTTTAATATTTATTTAAGCTTATTCTACATCAAGGGTAAACATATTATCATAATTATTTTGAACGCACCTCGACTACCCTTTTTCTAGGACGTTCCATTTTACACACTGTTACTCGACTTTATTCAACTCTGTTTCTGAGATTTATACATTATTTTATGTTTTATTTTTTTTAAGTATTTTTTATTTTTAAGTATTTCTTTATTGGTTTTTATATAGTACAGATAATTTAAAAATAACATAATAATTAATTAAATAAAGCATGCCGTACGTCATTGAGTGCACATGAGTGAAACAGATTTTTTTGACATTTGACAGTTCTGCGATTGGCATCAGTGCAGTCCTTTTTTGTTGCATTTGAGTCTTGTTGTGTACTGCGCCATTTTGTGTGTTTTTCATGGATCATATAGAATAGAAATATGTAGGGTTACACAAGATTTTTTTCAGTATAATCTCAGAGGAAGTGGTGACAGAATATTAACAAGTGATAGAAAAGTTAAGTTCATGCACATTTCAAGAAAACAATATTATGTATACATTTTAATAGAAAATGTGTACATAATATGTGTCTGGCAGAGCTGGTATAGTCGAATATTGTTGTAATTATTTGGTCAATCGACAAACCATTGAACGTTGCACTCACGTTATGACGTTAGTGTGGTAGCTTGAATGGGCTAGGTATCAATAAAATATCTCTGCTCCAGCAGAATTTCTGGATGACGAAGTTGTAAGATATTTAGTTGAAAAATGATGTTAATTAATAAACCATTCCACTTTAACATAATGTATTATTTGTTTTCCCATTTTGTTCATCAGGTATATATGTAAGTATGTAGGCCAATGAAATGTGTTAGGTAGATAAGAGATCCCTTTTGACAATACAAAAACTAAGTTAAACTTTTTAGATATAAAGAAACTATCTATCGTTTTTTTATTAAAAATGTAGTTAGTAAGTACTTATGTGTGCTGGAGAAACAGCACATAGTGCTCGACACTCAATTTATAGTGACAATCATCGAGTGTAAGCAATGACTTAGAGGCAGTTGGTTTCAAGGAATTCACAAAGTTAAAAAGATGTTTTTGACCATAGATAAGTAAGTATTTCTATCTAAACTTCGAACGTTAATAATTAGTTCTAGCACATCTATTTCTTTATTACCTATTTGGTAACGGCAAATCCAAACCTCAAAAGTAACATTAATATTTTTTTGGCTTCGTAGCATTTAAATCGTAAAAATGACTATACGACTTTACTTTCTAAACTTACAGAAAGTTTTTGTACTATATCTCATAACTATACATAAACTTTCACAATCAGGTTTTTAAATGTATGAAAAGTGGGCATGGTTCTTTTATAAGGACAAACATTAGACATTATAGATAGACAAAATACACAAAGAAAAATAGTGCTTTTCTCATGAAAGGCAATTTTTTTGTGTAAGATTATAAAATAATCCCAAAAAATGACAAAAATTGTCTACATTATTGTTTACAGACCATTTTAAAATAGTGCTCTGCATACTCAATTTTAGGATGTTTTGTAATCATTATCATTGTCTATTTACTGATAAATACCTAATCAGATATGTCTATAACCATGCAAGCCATGTTTAAAAAAAATGTAAAAGCTTATAGTAGCCCAACCATGGGATTAGTGTTCTGTAAGTCTGACAATAAGATTTTAACTCTTACCACTGCATACACATGATTCTATTAAGCCAATTTGCACTAGTGATCTAGTCATATATTCCAAACTAGGGTCATCTATGTTATTAGTATTGTCACTAGCAATCTTTTTTATTTCATTTCTTCTATACCAGCCTCTCCTACGCCAGTACAGCCTGCAGATCAATCGCATGCCTGGTTTCACAACATTCACACATTTAGATAAAAGGTTGTCTGTGGTTTCTGGTAACAGGCATCTTAGTGAGTGATCTTGTAGATATTTGTGTATAATTTTTAAGAGAAAAATTGCTGTAATTAAAATACAAGTTTAAGTTTAAAAATGTAAAATAAATTGATTTTACTTTTATACATTAACTTACTCTTATCATCAAAACCTTCGCAAACCTCGGTAAAGGATTTATCAAGAACCATTGGTTCATTGTTCGGGATTAAAACTTTATTTAAACTTCTCTTTGCCTTTTGAGGAGAAGTTATTCTACGGTTTTTAGTTGGCGAAAAAAACTTGTTGTTTGACCCAGGACTGCGGAACTTATTACTATTTGGGGTTGATCCAGGGCGCGGTTCTTTTTTAGGAGTTGTAGGCGAGTATACAATTGTTGTTATAGACTCCCGTTTTGAAGTATTACTATTGTTGTTCTTTTTTTCCATTGAAAAATCCGAATTTTCATCATCACTGCATAAATCTATAACATTTTCCGATATTTCCCTATTTGATTTTGCTATCTTTATTGGTTTTGATGAGTTCAGACTTAAGCTGCGTTTCTTTTTTTTAACAGCATCCATGCTCAAATAAACTTTACCACCTTTTATTTTATAATAATTACTTAGCTTCAATTGTTGACTCATCGCAGTAACAATTAATAAGTAGTAAGTACTATTATTCGTTTATTATACGTCATTAATCACAACACATTCATTGTTTTGTTGTTAATTATAATTCGTTTATTATTATTTGTTTACTTGTTTTTGCGCAACAAACTAACCTAGAAATGCGCCGCGCTAGTACCTATTACTACTTAGGTACTTAGTAAGTACTTATTAGGGATGTTCGATGCATCGAGCATCGATGATCATCGATGTCAAAAATAAAAACATCGATGCCTTAACATCGATGTTGCTACATGTCGAACATCGAAACATCGATGTCAATAAACCCATAATGGATTATTGGGAACTTGCGAATACTGTGAACCCGCGAAATCAATATCAACTAAATCATGCATCTCCTCTAAAATATTTAAATTTTTGAATAAGTTTATTAACTTTTTTTATGAATAATTCCGAATTCCTGAACGTATCGATAACCTAAAATTATATCATGGTGTATCAAATTTAACTGTCAATTGTAATGTCGCAGTTGTCACTGATTTCGCTTTGTTATTGGTGTCGTTATTGGTTGTCAATTTCTTTGTTGGTTGTTTTTAAAAAAAATCCGATGGTTGATGTTAAACAAGATGCAATGCAAGTTTAGAACAATGTTATTGGTTCTACCTATTTAAAATTAAAAAAATGAACTTGTGGTGAGATATTTGACCTCAATTGCTACATCAACGCCATCTACCGACTTTAAAAAGGAGGAGGTACCCAATTCGTCTGTATGTTCTTTTTTTTAATGTGTTAATGTGTTATCTCATTACTTTTTTCTGGGTGAACCGATATCGATGATTCTTTCTTTTTATTTGAAAGCCGGTGCTTCTCGTGTGGTCCCATATAAATTGCATCAAAGTCTGATCAATAGTTTTTGAGTTATCCTTAATAATTTATGTTGAAGTCAGTTGTACAAAATTTTTAATTATTTTCAAAAGCTGGCTCAACTCTTTATCAACAGAGAAACAGATTGAAAGGTACTTCTTTGTCAAAATTACTATTTCTTTAATCAACCGGCTAAAATATTAAACTATATACCAAATGAATGAGATATTTGTGAACTTCTTCCATTTTTTTTTAATTACAGTTTTACGCTACATTGTTTATTAATTTCTTTTATTTCATTAATTATAAACCACAAACAACATGAATATTCTTTTATTATTTTTTTTGCGCCCAGAAGCAATGAAAAAGGCTATCCTCTGGGAAGCGGGGGAGGGAGGTGGTGAATGGTTAAAGCATACCACGACAGCCAACTGCGTGGTTATGTGGGACTCACTGCGAAACCTAAGTGTCTACCCACTAAACACCACCTGTGAGACTGGCATTGGCCTGTATGACCTTTATGCCAAGTCAGAAGGGGCCCCCTTCAGGGAAAAGGTAGGTTTTATTCATCTAATTCTAACCTATTAAATACATGTGCTAAAACATCGATAATGGCCAACACCGATGTTTTGAGTAAGATAAACATCGAACATTGATGTTGAACTATCGATGCGAACATCGATGTCAGCATCGAAGTTTCTGCAACATCGAACATCTTTTTTTTAATAACAGGCTTTACGGCTCTGTGTTCTAGCCCTTCTGAGCCTGAAGTTTGAATGTATAATTTTTCTTAAAATTATCCTTCATAGTACACTGCTTTACAATATGTTGATGCGGCATATTGTGCAGACTTTGAGAGATTTTGACGGCAACTTGAGCCAGCAGACAGTCGACAGTTGGCAATGGTATCTCACGGCGCCTAAGTAGACAGACTCCTTATCTTGAGAATCACTTTACAATCAGAGCCCTTGTTTCACCGTTTCCACTAATAGTTCACATGCGCAGACATTTAATACACAAAATCGCACCACTTTTATATATCAATATCTACTTCAAACCATTATTTAAACAGTAATATAAGAGCAACAATCCGTCGCCGGTCAAGTTCCTGCCATAACTCCCATCGAACATCCATAGTCTTAGAATATACTGGCGTATAGACATAGACATAGTATCTTATAGACTAAACATTCAGTGACGTCATCAGCGTGTGAAAGGAATGCACGTATATAGTTAGGCATAAGAGTAAGGGAGAAGCAAATCTATATTTCTTGTCTTTTTCTAGGTATGCGTTTTTGATTGTTTTCCCTCCTTTATTTGACATTAACGATGTCAAGCTCTTTTGAATAATATTGATATTATAAGCAAACAGGTAATTGAATTTAGTGTTTTTTGTGGGTCTTAGTTATTAGGTAAGGTGAAAAAGATGGTAAGTTGTAGCATTTTAGGATGCAACAGCATCAGTCAACGAAAAATTGATAATATTACCTTTCATCAGTAAGTTTGTTTTGTGCTTACATTTGCTACTTGTACTGATTAATATCTATTATTTTGAATATAAAGTGTTAACATTTCATGTTTTTAAGGAACTTTGTGATGTATTTTGTCAAATATTTGGACTCCCACATTGTACATTCTTCATGATAATGCTCTTTAATTTGAACGGTCATTCGAAAGCTTAAAGTCATAACAAACGTGTACTTTTTGATTTGGTAGGATTATAGAAACTTTAGGGATATCAGCGAGTACAATAATGTTTTCGCATTGTTCAATAATAATTGTTATTGTGATTAGTAGTTATGTCCATAAATATGAATTACATAATGTTATACATATACATACACTTTTATATTCAGCTTTAAAGGAAACTCCTTATTGCCCTACAACTCTTCAATCATTTTCCATATTACATAGACGTCACAAATAATATGTAAGTATTAACCTGAAAACACGTTTGGATTCAAGTACATAAATATTGTGCAAAGTATATTTAATTTCACAAAATATGTATTGCCTGAAATCAGATGCACAAAACTTTATTGCATTCCATTAATTCTATTATACATTAGCAACAATTACATTATAAGTAATATTTATTTAAAAAAAATATGTCAATCTAATATAAAAATAAATACAAATATAGATAAAATAATAAATAAATAAATAAGTCTTAATCTTAAGGTACACAATAACACAACAACATAACATAATATTCTCAATTAATGATGTAGAAAAAATTGGATGATAATATACTTACCGTTACCATTAGTCAGTATCAAAAGTCAAAAGTTATAGGTATTGTGATAGTTGCCTAGCTTGGCAGGAGAATTGGCAACTGCAGTTATTTGGAGACAAACTGTGTGGGAGGTATATGTTCAGCGGTGGAGGACATTTGTTAGGCTGTAAATGTATTAATTAACAATATCTAAAGCTTAATATGTACATAATTTTTTTAAATGTTTGGTATGAATAATATTATTATCATTACATTTACATATAATTGCTATTTAATTCAATCAATTGATATTGTTTTAATTGTTATAGGTATTGTATTTATGCACAGATAAACATACTTGATATTTTTCTGTTTAATACCTTGATATAAAAGTGTACTATATATTTAATATATTAATTTCTTTTAAATATATTATTTCACAGCTTTTCTAAGGAATCAGCTATCCGTAACTGTTGGATAATCGCTACTGGTAGTGATTACAGGTAACCAACAAAACTTAGCAGTGTATGCTTAAAACATTTTAAGCCTCATTGTTTTAGATGGACTAAATATGCTTAACTTATGTAATTTATAATATAATTAAGATAATTTTTTTAAATGTTATAATTTCTTGTTGTATCTTGTTGTTTCTCCATAAGTGGTATAAGTTTGATCTTGTTGGTAGTTATGATTTTTGACATTGTTCTCTATGTATTAAAAATTGACTAGCATTTCTTATTTTATTTTCAAATGCTGACATTCTGTATTATTATGACTTGTAATAATTGGGTGGCATAACAATGACAAAATATTTACTTATTATTTATTATTTTATTATTAGATGTATTGATTAAACATGAATCCTCATTTACAAATGTGGGAACTTTATTTCTACTACCATGTTTTATGCAAATAAAGATTTAAATAAAAGAAATAAATAAGTAATTTAAAGTCCTGACCTAAATATACAAATGAATAATTTATTATGCAATAATAATTGTAAAACTGACTGAGAATGCCTACCAATGTGACATTTAGTCCACCCTTAATCCCTTTTATAAAGGTGTTATAAACATTAATGTGTAAATAAATTAAGAAATAAATGTAATAATTATGATAATTTCTATTTAATTGTCATAAATAATGTAATAAAGATGTTTTTGACAAGAGATAAGTATTACCTATCTAAGTATAGTTTAGGATTTGTACCTTATTATTTATATCATTAGAATATATTATATACAAGGCAAATAATATATATCATGCAAAAGTATAAATCAAGTATACAAATGCACATTTTTGAGAAATTCTAAAGCTACTCAAACCAAGAATTAAAAGGAAAGAAGACAAAAATTTTGTTAAATTTATTGTTTATTAATGTGATCAAAAATTAATAAGTAATCGTTTGTTTATTTTGATTTTATTGAATTATGTGTAATATATAATTGTGTTTTCATTTCTTTCACTTAATGTAACATTGTTAATATTTCTAAATGTTGTGTAAGTACACAAAATTTAGTTCTTTTTCCTATTTCAATTTCAATATATTTTCATTTAAATAGAATATATATCTTTACAGTCTATCAAAAGTCCACTGTTGAACATAAACATGATTATAGTTATTTGGCATAGTTTCAACGCTTGGAAAGCAGGTTGTCAACCACTGTTTTTTTTATTTAGCTGTTATCAGGACAATGCTGCTGTTTATCTTCTTTGATGTTTCCCTATGTCGCCTCATACACCACACATGGAATGATATGAGATAGCAGATAATCTTACACTGCATGGTAAATTAAAAAGAATATTATAAAACATTCGTTTTTATTTCATATACCAACATATTACAAAAACAAACGCTTTGTTGATGCTTTACAACGTATATTAACTAAACATTTTACCACCTTAACCATTAGGTAACATGATTAAGCCACCTAACCATAAGTAAGTCACCTAAAGAAGGCCTTCCATAGATATCCTCATAGGATGACTTTTGCCATAGTTGCCACGCCTGCGTGAAAATATGTGTTATGCTGGTTGGCCACCGCAGTTATTTATTATTTTAAGTTTTCATCGGGAAAGTGC